TATATTCTTGACAATTTATTATAAAAAGTATTCTATAGTTCCCTATAAGGAGTCTAGGATCAAGTGTGGACCGATTGTGTGAACATATTCCCAACAAATATTCCCAAATTATCTGCCCTCTACATCCTGTTAAGAATCAATCATCCCTTGTTCAACACTTAGACAAACATGCGATGGCTGGATTATCTTAGAATCTGATTTGGTCTACGACCAGCAAATTTGTATATTTTTTCCCCAAAAAGTTCCTTTAAACATATAATTTAAATGTATTCTAAAAAATTAACAAAAATAAATCGCGTAAATGTCTTAAATAAGCGTCCTATGGTGAAAATGACAAAAATCGTTAAACATTTTAAAAAGCCTAAGACCTAATCTAATACAATCCTAAGTTTTGCTTATAACTCTCTTAAACTTTAGCAGCTATTTCGGTTTGAAAATCAATTTCCTACAGGACGTATGATTAATATTAATTAATGACTTAAAATGGAAATTTAACTATAACTTTAGATGTAATTCTACTTCTAAGATTTTTGAAATAGTTCCTCAAAGCTATTGTAATAAGGGTTACAATTTTTAACAAAATTGAACTTTACTTAAAAGTAAACTGATAACAAATTTAAAGAAAAATAACCACACCCTTTCTTTAAAACTACATTTGCCAACTTTATAACAAACCTTAAATTACAAATAAATAAATAAATAAAATGCTTTAATTTTTAATATCTTTTGTAATTAGTTTCTTCATTTCGTTAGCTATTTAAACATTAAAATGTATTCTAAATGATTATTTTAGTCATAATTAAGAGATTTATTTCGAGATTAAAATTTCGTTTGCAGCAGTTTTTCTCTATACATGTAGTTTTACTTTAAACATTTTTAGTTATTTTTTTTTTTTCGAATACATAACAAAATGTTGTAGGATTTTATGATATCAGTAAAACAGTTTAGCTGTTGAAATAGCATCCATATAGTAGGTATTAAGTAGCAGCATTTAGGCAGTATTCCAATTTTTTTTGGATTTTTCTCCTTTAAGGTTTAGTTTTTAGTTTCCATAATGGTGTTTTAAAACACTTTGGGAAATAATTAAAGGTGGATAAAATTGAAATTCATTATAAAACTTTCAAAATCTTTATTTACACAAATTTTAATAAAAGCCCAACTATAAGAATTATTATTACCTTTTTCCTTTTTGTTTAAAATTTTTAAAAATTTCCTTTTGGAGAAAGGTTTGATTTTGTTATAGTATTTATAGTATATTAAGTTGTTATTAAAAACCTCTTTAATAAATCTTTGTCCTTGTATTACAACAAAAGTTATAGTTAAATTTGCATTTGAGGCCATTACTTAATATCAATCATACGTCCTGTAGGAAATTGATATTAAAACCAAGATGACTGCTAAAGCGATTTATGTGAACTACAACTGAACTAGAACTGAACTAGAACTGAACTAGAACTGAACTAGAACTGAACTAGAACTGAACTAGAACTGAACTAGAACTGAACTAGAACTGAACTAGAACTGAACTAGAACTGAACTAGAACTGAACTAGAACTGAACTAGAACTGAACTAGAACTAGAACTGAACTAGAACTGAACTAGAACTGAACTAGAACTAGAACTGAACTAGAACTAGAACTGAACTAGAACTGAACTAGAACTGAACTAGAACTGAACTAGAACTGAACTAGAACTGAACTAGAACTGAACTAGAACTGAACTAGAACTGAACTAGAACTGAACTAGAACTGAACTAGAACTGAACTAGAACTGAACTAGAACTGAACTAGAACTGAACTAGAACTGAACTAGAACTGAACTAGAACTGAACTAGAACTGAACTAGAACTGAACTAGAACTGAACTAGAACTGAACTAGAACTGAACTAGAACTGAACTAGAACTGAACTAGAACTGAACTAGAACTGAACTAGAACTGAACTAGAACTGAACTAGAACTGAACTAGAACTGAACTAGAACTGAACTAGAACTGAACTAGAACTGAACTAGAACTGAACTAGAACTGAACTAGAACTGAACTAGAACTGAACTAGAACTGAACTAGAACTGAACTAGAACTAGAACTGAACTAGAACTAGAACTGAACTAGAACTGAACTAGAACTGAACTAGAACTGAACTAGAACTGAACTAGAAGAACTAGAACTGAACTAGAACTGAACTAGAACTGAACTAGAACTGAACTAGAACTGAACTAGAACTGAACTAGAACTGAACTAGAACTGAACTAGAACTGAACCAGAACTGAACTAGAACTGAACTAGAACTGAACTAGAACTGAACTAGAACTGAACTAGAACTGAACTAGAACTGAACTAGAACTGAACTAGAACTGAACTAGAACTGAACTAGAACTGAACTAGAACTGAACTAGAACTGAACTAGAACTGAACTAGAACTGAACTAGAACTGAACTAGAACTGAACTAGAACTGAACTAGAACTGAACTAGAACTGAACTAGAACTGAACTAGAACTGAACTAGAACTGAACTAGAACTGAACTAGAACTGAACTAGAACTGAACTAGAACTGAACTAGAACTGAACTAGAACTGAACTAGAACTGAACTAGAACTGAACTAGAACTGAACTAGAACTGAACTAGAACTGAACTAGAACTGAACTAGAACTGAACTAGAACTGAACTAGAACTGAACTAGAACTGAACTAGAACTGAACTAGAACTGAACTAGAACTGAACTAGAACTAACAAGATCTGAACTAAAACTGAATGAATGTAAATTTTTAATTAAAAGTTTTTCAGACCAATTTTTAATTTGTTATAAATCCTATAATTATTTCTTTAAGTGTCCACCAAGTTGTCGTCGCTGTTTGGAAAACAAAAAGAAAAACTTTACGTTTTACAAACATGACAACAAGTATAAACTTCAAAACGGAACTAGACACATAGAAACAAACTTATACATAAATGAACAGTATTGAACAAAACCTAAGCAACTTATTTTTCAAATATGAAGAGCTACAACCAAACAGAGTATTCTAATAATAACCTAAAAAGTTTAAAATCGTTTCTCATCACGTAATGAGATAAAGATTGAAACCCCGAACCTATAAGTCGTAGTTTTAAGTTGTTAGGAAAAACTGCTTAGGTTTTAAACAGTACTGTTGCTAAATAGGTTTCTTTCTATATAAACGTCTATAAAATCGCCAAAAAATATAAACAAATATAGTATTTACTATTTATAAAGATAATACAATAAATAAGTATGTGTTGCTCATAGAGTGTGAGTGTGTGTGTTAGGCAAGTTAGTAAGTGTGAGTATTGTGTAAAGAGACCACCACCCAAAAACACTATTTAGGTAATAATGTCTACAGCCCCAAAACGAACCTTAAAACTAATGAGCTGTGTTTTTCGCTTTAAAGTCACTTTCATTTAATAAAAAAACTAAACAACAGAAATTTATATTAGATAAAGAAAATAACAAAGGAACTATAACGTATATAAAAAGGAAAGGAAACACTAGTGAAGGAAAAGGTGGCTTCAAAAAACTATATGTATATAAAGAGAAACATGCGAGAAAACATTATGACACGAAAAAAAAAGAAACAACAAACATGCAACATTGAAAATTACATAGAACATAGAAAATAATAATAAAAACACAACACACACACAATGATACACAAACACACACATACACATGAAAACGAAGCTAGATGTGTAACAACGAATAAATGCGAGTAAGGAACGAAGAAGTTTTGATGGCTATAAAACCGTTATTAAATGATGAAGTATTCAAAAATTTAAAGGTTTAAATGTTTGTGTATATGTGTAGGTAATGTAATGAAAATAATAGTTTGTATATGTGGGATGTTAAATATAAGGTGTGTTAGTTTTTTTGTTATTGCTTTTTTTTCGGTGGTATATAAGTAATCATAATCATAAAAAATTATATGTAATAGCATTTAAAACTACACACACACACATACATACATTGAATTAAAGGTAATAAAAATGAAAAAGAAAACAACACACTTAGAAAAGGACCAAAACTTAAAAATATATTCTTGTTATACGTATAGTAAGTAGTAGTAATAAAAGTAGCACGATTAGTTAGTAAGATTAGTGTTAGTTAGTAATAGAAAAAAAAAAAAACAGAAAGCTAGACACAGTTAGTAAAGGAATAGAGCGTTTTAGAAACGATTCAACACAGGCATGGAAATAATTTTGAAATACTTAGTACTAAGATCAGTCTATGGACTAGTCTTCTGACTGCTCTATGGAGTAGTCTATTGACTACTCTATAGACTAGTCTATTGCATAGTCTACTAACTACTCTATAGGCATGTCTATTTACGAAATTATGAACTGGTCTATGGACTAGCCTACAGACTAGTCTATGAACTAGTTTATGGACTAGATTATGGACTAGTCTATGGACTAGTTTATGGACTAGTCTAGAGACATGTCAAGGAACTAGTATATGCACAAGTCTAGGGACTAGTCTATAGACTAGTTTATAAACTAATCTATGGAGTAGTCTCTGGACTAGCCTATGAACTAGTATATGCACTAGTCCATGGACTATTATATGGACTAGTCTATGTGCTATGGACTAGTCTATGCAGCGTTTAGGATAGACTAGTATATCGCCGAGTCTATTTACTACGCTATTGACTAGTCTATGGATTATACTATTAACTATTCCACAGACTAGTCTATGGACTAGCACATTAACTAATCTATTAACTATATTACAAAATTTTCAATTCCTGTGTCAACGTATTAGTTTCTTTTTTGTTGGGGATTGCGTTAAAGATTTTTAATACATATAATTAGCAAATAAGTACACAGAGAGAATAATTGTGTATAAAGAGAGTAATTAGTACATAAAGAGCGAGAAAGGGCCAGCCTGTTTAAAATTCTTACGACGCTTTGTGTTCATATAAATTTTTATTTATTTTTTTTTTTTTTTGACGAACGTGGTTGTAGTTAAACTTGTTGTTGTTCTTAATTACCTCAATATGTTCACAGACGCAAATACCTTCTTCGCAGTAGGCGCATAATTGAACCTTACGACCGCCCCGGAAGATAATATGAGGATCATCGGTGAGTAAGGGTTCATATTGTTGATGTTGCTGATTGAATTGCAGTTCTTTGAATTGACGCTTAACGCCACTAACTGCAGAGGCGGCGGCAGCATCCAATTCAAAAGCATCACTACGACGCATGCGATAGACACTGCACTTGCGTTCGAGAGGACCGGTGGGTGGCTGCATGTGTTCGTCGTCATCGCATGAATCAATGGCGGCGGTTAGGGGTTGTTTTTCCGCTGCAGCATCGGAAAGTTCATCGCGCGGTTTGGCCACATGACCGGGCGAAGCCATGGGCGTGGCCGGCGTCACTATAATAGAGTCGTGGCAAGGTAAAGCCATTGTTGTGCTGGCCTCCTCCTGTCCAGTCATCGTAGGTGGGGTGTCGCCTGTTAAGTGGTCGCCGGCGACGGCCACGCCCTCTGGCGACGTCGGTGGTGTGGCCTCGACTTGCGAAACCAGCGGCAGCGTAGCGGTGGCCGATTTCGGCAAGTGCGTATAATGGAAGCTGGTGCCACTGCTGCCCGAATGACGATGTACCAATCTAGGCGATACGCGTCCATGCTGATGATGATGCGTATGCTGGGCATCGGGCGTATAGGAGCCCATATGCTGATGGCCCTGTTGATGAGCATGACTATGGGCGTGATGACTATGACCCGGATGTCCCGTATAATGGCCATGGGCATGTGAATGCATTTGCATGTGCAGCACCGATTGTGTGTCGCCCTCATCGATTGGCAGTAGAAGCTTGGATTGAGCCGTATAACTGGCACTAAGCTTGCGTGCCTGAGCCTGCGGTGTACGTAAGTAGTTATTGGGTAATTGGTGGAATTGGCGTGAATGTCGTGTGGGCGTGGAAGCGCCATGTTCGGCTAGGACAATACCCGCTGCCTTCGGTGGATGTAGTTTCGCTTGAAGTTGTTGGGTTTTCTTTTGCTGGCGCTGACGTTGTCGGGCCTGACGTGAGGCCAACGAGGCACCGCCCGCTGCCGCATACATTGTGTTTGAGTTTGTTGTTTATTTATTTTTTTTTTTTGTTTTTTTTCTTTATAAATTTGTAGAGTGTGTGTGTGTAAAATATAAAGCTAACTTAAGTTTGAGTTACCCGGCTAAGTAGTTATAGTATTTGCTTTAAAAATAGTTACTTTAGCTATGTAAAAAATTTGTTGTTGTTTTTAAGGGGTTTCTTTGAGAGAAGTCTACAATATGTTAAAGCTTAGAGTAAGTTTTAAAACTTTCTCTAAAAGCTGGAAGTTACTAGGAGCAAGTGTTGGTTTGGTCTAGAGACAAGGGTGATAATAATTTTTTGATTTGTTTGAATTTGATTTTGTTTTAAGAGAAATTAGCAGACAGATGTAAAAAGTGAGAGAGAGAGAGAGAGAGTTATAGAGAGATAGGAAGTTTGGTCTTATATTTTAAAAGTAGGGAGTTCAGTTAAATGTTATTATTGTTGTAAAATGACATGTACAATTTTGTATGCCAAACACGGAATTTTTTGTTAATTTAAACAGATTTTAATATTTTGGATTTGAGTTTAATAAATCACAAATAAAAGAGTATAAAGTGCTGCTTACAAAAAAGAACTCTCTAAAAAGTTAAGAAGTGCATACTGAAAGGGAATTTTTTTGCTCTAAAAAGATCTCTAGTTTTTATATAATACAGCCAGTTGGTTTGTATGTTATTTTGGGGGGAATTTTAATGATTGTGGAATTTTTTTTTTAAATTCGGTATTTTACATATTATGATAAATAAGTTTTGGTAAAAAACTAACTAAAAAAAGACTACTTAAAATAATTAAAAAAATATTATAAAAAATGGATTTATTTCTTACTATATAATTTACCTAAAAATTTTTAACACGTTCACATTAACAAATATGCTAAATAACATTTAGATTTTATATATAATTTGATGTTTATATTAATTATATTTTGCAATTTTTGAAGAGAATAATAACGAACATTTAGAGTTATATTAAATATTTCGCATAATCTCGTTTTGGGTTTTGAATTAGTTCAATTTATTTTGATACTAAATTGATGATGATGCTAAGCTTTAGCTTGCTTAAGATATTATGTTTAAGGGAGAGTTAGCTAGAGAGTGAGTTAAAAGTGAGTTAAAGTAATAGCATATGATGGAAGACCTCTAAAGGACTGGTCACATGGTCTAAGGTTTTGTTTTAAAATTTTACAGCATAAGCTAAACAAACTATAAATGTTTAATTTAAAACACAAATTTAAATAGCTTAACTAACATTTAATAGAGTTGTTTAATTTTAAACTAATTTATTTAATTAACATTTATAATTCGTTTTAAAATTTAGTTATATTTTAAGTACTGCTTAGTTAAAGTTAATGTTGTATTATGACATATAAAATGTTATAATTTTTTCACTTTTTTTTTGTTTTTTTCTAAAACCAAAAGAAAACAAGTGAAGAAGAGATGTAGCAGGAGTGGGAGTAATAGATAAATGTTTATTAAATGGTTGGTTGATTTCTACGTTGTTAGCTGATGAGTTTTATATGACGTTGCTATTACATGTATCTTAAACATAAACAAATATCTATTAGTAACATGTTTTTTTTTTTTTCTTTTCTTTACTAAACTGCACTCTGTCTATTTGTACTAAAACTGTTATAGTTTTCGCCTTTAAACGAAAAAAAAAAAACTAAACTAAATTGTAATGTAATGAAAAAAATCTACCAGCACAACACAACTGTATATACTTTCTTGCCCCTCTATGTTAGTTTTTTTATTTTCTAGTTACAAATATATAAATCGATAGTTACATAATAATTCCTCTAAAATATCAACAACATTCGCATAAAAAAAAAAGAATTTTATACCCAGTATATAACAAGAAAATAAAAATAAACTCAAAATAAAGATTACATTTAATATTTGTCTCTTTTTTAAATTTCTTTAACTAAATAGTTGTTGTTGTTAGATTTTAGCATTTAATTAACAAACTGCTAAAAAAATTTTATAAATTAATCTTACAAACTAAACTAATTATGCTATAAAAAAGTGTTTTAGGTTTTATTTTTTTAGGTAAAAAGTTAAAAGCTGTAAAAAAGATTTATTTTCAAAATATGAGCAAATTACTTTTAATAAAAATTGCAAAGTTTTGTAAAGATCTAATATAATAATTAAAAATATAATAAAAAATGCACAAATAGGACAAGATTAAAAAAAAAACTCTCCATTCTCTCCATACGTGACAATTAATTTCGATAATTCAGAGACAAAATTTGAACTTTAACCACCACTAGTAGGACGATAATGGACCAAAAAGTTGTAATGTATATTTAAATTCTAAGACAATTTATTTAAAATGATAAACTACTGCAAAAACATGTTTAATTGTCGAATTTAAAAATAGTAGTAGAAATACTACTTTTTGACAAAAGTAAGGAAATTAATAAATTTTACAATTGATAATGATTTTTGGTAATAAAAGGTTTAAATCAGTGATATTTTTTCATTATATTTACTAATAAGTACTAAATTAGCTACTACTTTTTAGTAAAAAGTAGTAAATTATGAAAAATTTTTAATAGAATATATTTAAAATGAAAAAGTGTTAGTAAATATAACTTTAAATTTTATTTTTAAAATAGTAGTAAAAATACTACTTTTTGAAAAAAGTAGTATTTTTACTACATTTTAGTTTGATTATTATAATGATTATTGGTAATGCCAACTAAAACAAAATACATTTTTTCCATATATTTACCTAAAAGTACTAAATTAGCTATTTTTGTAAAAAGTAGTAAATTATGAAAATTTTTACTACTTTTTGAAAAAAGTAGTATTTTTACTACATTTTAGTTTGGATAATGATTATTGGTAATGCCAACTAAAACAAAATACATTTTTTTCCATATATTTACCTAAAAGTACTAAATTAGCTATTTTTGTAAAAAGTAGTAAATTATGAATATTTTTGTATATAATTTATTTAAAATGAAAAGTTGTTAGTAAATATAACTTTAAATTTTGTTTTCAAAATAGTAGTAGAAATACTACTTTTTGAAAAAAAATATCGAATTATATACATTTTAGTTGGCCAACTAAAACAAAATACAATTTTTTTTCTATATATTTACCTAATAGTAGTAAATTAGCTACTACTTTTTACTACAAAGTAGTAAATTGTAGAACATTTTTTAAACAAATTATTTAAAATGGAAAAGTGTTACTGAATGTAACTTAAGTTTTTATTTTTAAAATATTAGTAGAAATACTACTTTTTGAAAAAAGTAATTCCATACATACATTTTAATTTGGATAATGATTTTTGGTAATAAAAACATAAAGAAAATTTATTTTTTCTATATAATTATAAAAATTAGTACCTTTTTTCATCGAAAAGTACACACATTTTAGTTTGGATAATGATTTTTGGTAATTCAGACTTTAAAGAAATCGTATTTTTTCTATATATGTATGTATGTATACCGAAAAGTACTAAATTATCAACTACTTTTTGGTAAAAAGTAGTAAATTATGAGAAATTTCGTATACAATTTATTTAAAATTAAAAAGTGTTATCAAATATAACTTTAAATTTTATTTTTAAAATAGTAGTAGAAATACTACTTTTTGAAAAAAGTATGAAATTATATGCTTTTTAGTTTGGATAACGATTTTTGTTAATACAAACTTTAAAGAAAGCGTATTTTTGTATATAATTATTTAAAATGAAAAATTGTTAGTAAATATTATATTAAATTTTATTTTTAAAATAGTAGTAGAATTAGTAGTAAATTGGGAAATTTATTACTTTTTCGTGTAGAATATGGTTTCTAATAATCTAAACAATGATTAACCCCCAATTTCATCACCTCAAGTTATCGTTTAAATGGTAGTTATTCGTCCAGTTAAGACAATTTTTGTATGAGAACTGTTAATATATCTTTAAAATGAAATAGTAGTAGAAAAACTACTTTTTGCTAAATTGTGGAATTTTATCAGAAATTGAATCCTTGACTAAAAGGCTTTCAATTGAATTTTTAAATAAATTGTCAATAAAAATGCTGATGAAGCTTAAACCTATTTAAATATGTATGTGACAACAACAAAACTGACAATTTACAATTCCAACTGATGTTCACATTTTATTACATTTACAGTTAAATTAAATAATAATATTACATTTAATTTAAACAAGCTGTTATTATTACTATTCTAACAAAGATTATACTACACTTCAACTAAAATTGTTGTTAAATTAAAAATAAAATTTATGATTACACTGCCAATGTACATACATGACAAATTAATAAAATATTCAAGCACTCAAAAAAAAATGCCCCTGACAAGTTTTCAAATTACAATTTGGCCATTTACAGATTATAAAATTGTAGTTGTTTTTGTATTGGGTTTGAAATAAATTTGTTATGATTTCTAATAAATATTACTACTTGTGCACTTAATTTGTCAAAAAAAAAAAAAATCCTCCAGGGTTGAACCTAGTAGTAAAATTTATACAAAACAAAGTTCAATTTGCAAATTTATACAATTGTTTGAGGCTAAAAGTAAAAGCTTGTTGTTGTTCTACATATTTTACAACAAAAAAGCATTTTAATGTCATTTACTTACACACACAATGTTTGTTCAAAGATAAATAAATAAATATTTAAAATAATGGAACACATGTACATATATTTTAGTTACATGTAATGTAAATACACACATACATACATATGTATGTACATATGCATGTATGTTTTATATATGCTATAAAATCATAGTTTGTAGTTATAGTTGTTGTCATATATACCAGCCATTCATTGTTTGGTTTCCATTTAATCTGTCTAAAACTTTGTTTTTTATAAATTATGCACTGTCACTCTCTTTGTGCCTCAATTATAATAAAGAGCAGAAGAAAACACTCAAATGACAGAAAAAAACCCCCCATAAAGTCACCAAAGGGGTAGGATCCACAAAACCCGTTGTAGGTGAGTAAACAATGAACAGATTTTTAATTATTCTCCTTATGTGGAAGAAATAATAATAATAATACTCGTTTATATAAACTAACACAACTATAATGGGCTGCTAGTATTATGACGTTTGAGATAAGGTTTGTAACCCAAAAAATTCTTTAAACATTTTTACAAAAGTTCTAAGTTATCTACTACATTTTGATAAAAAGTATTAAATTTTTTTAAATAATTGTGTCAAATTTCTTTGAAATCAAAAAATTATAGCAAAATTAAGTTCATTTTGCTATTTCAAATTAGTAGTAGAAATACTACTTTTTTGCAAAAAGTAGAAAAATAATAAATTTTATTATTGATAATGATTTTTGTTAATTCAAACTTTAAAGAAATGGCATTTTTACTACATTTTTATAAAAAAGTACTAAATTAGCTACTACATTTTTGTGAAAAAGTAGTAAATTATGAAAAACTGTTCATACAATTTACTTAAAATGAAAAGTGTTACTGAATTTAACTTGAGTTTTTATTTTCAAAATAGTAGTAGAAATACTACTTTTTGTTAAATTAAGGAATTTAATACTTTTTCGTGTACAATACGTTTTCCTATAACTTAAAAATTGATTAAATGTTACTTTTTAATACATATTTTGCAAAAAAGTAGTAGATAGCTACTATTTTTTTGCAAAATGTAGTAAATTATTTTTAATTTTTAATACAATTAATTTAAAATGAGTAGAATACTTGATAATCTTGTTTATAGTGTGTTTTGAAAATAGTAGTAGAAATACTACTTTTTTGAAAAAGTAGAAAAATACAAAATTTTATTATTGATTATGATTTTTGTAATTCAAACATTAAGGAAATGGTATTTTTTATATATTTTTATAAAAAGTACTATATTAACTACTACTTTTTTCGTAAAATGTAGTTAATTATGAAAATTTGTTATAAAATGTATTTGAAATGAAAGAGTTTTTCCAAATATAGCCTTAGTTTTTCTTTTTAAAATAGTAGTAAATATACTACTTTTTTGCTAAACTATGAAATTTATTACTTTTTTCTTGTAGAATATGATTTCCCATCATTTAAACAATATTTAAGTATTACTATTAATGAAAATTTTTTAAATTGTAGTAGATAGTTACACTACTTTTTTGTAAAAAGTAGTAAATTCATTTCAATCTTTAATTCAATTAATTAAAAATGAAAATAATACTTGCGAATAATGTTTATATTTTGATTTAAAAATAGTAGTAGAAATACTACTTTTTGCAAAAAAGCAGGGAAATTCAAAATTTTTCAACTTTAATGAAATAATTTTTTATATAGTATTTCTAAAAAAAGTACTAAATTAGCTACTTTTTTTTGTAAAAAGTACTAAATTAGCTAATTTTTTTTGTAAAAATTAGTAAATTATGAAAATTTGTTTACAGAAATTATTTAACATGAAAACGTGTTACTAAATATAACTATAGTTTTTGTTTTGAAGATAGTTAGTTAGTTAGTTAGTTTGAAAGGAGGATGTATATACATCAAATCCGAAGAAATACACCTAGGCCTCTATCGGGCCTGTTGTGCGCTCCTTAACCAGTGCCTCAGGTGGGAATCGAACCCAGCACCTCCGGTCTACCAGACTAGAACACTAACCACTAACCTACCGGAGGACAGATAGTAGTAGAAATACCTTTTTTAGGTTTTCGTATAGAATATGACATTTGACATTATACAGGGGAATAAACCTTAAAATGTTCTCAATCATTGTCTTCCTGAAAATCACTTAACAGCTAATGTAAGGCTTTATATGTTTGGTCATCTCCAGCTTACTTTCTATATAAAAATATACTCATATATGGTATAATTGTACAAAGTACACACTTATTTACATTCATATACTATACAATAATAC